ACTTACTATAAAACTATAGTACTCAATATAGTGGTATTGGTGAAAGACTAGACACATAGATCAATGAAACAGAATAGAGAGCCCAGAAACAGACTCACATAAATATAGTCAACTGATTTTTGACAAAGGACCAAAGGCAATACAATGGAGCAAAGACAGTCTTTTCAACAAAAGGTGTTGGAACAACTGGATATCCACATGCAAAAAAAATAAAGCTAGACACAGACTTTGCACTCTTCACAAAAATTAACTCAAAATGAATCAGACCTAAATGTAAAATGTTAAACTATAAAATTTCTAGAAGATAACATAGAAGAGCACCTAGATGACCTTGGTCATGGTGGTGACTTTTTAGACTAACACCAAAGGCATGATCCATGAAAAAAAGAATTGATAAGCTGAAGAAGGAATTGATAAACTGGTTCTGCACTGCGAAAGATAATGTCAAGAAAATGAGAAGACAAGACTTCGACTGGAAGGAAATATTTGTAAAAGACACATCTCATAAAGAATTATCTAAAATATATAAAGAACACTTAAAACTCAACAATAAAAAAACAAACAACCCAATTTTAAAAAGGGAAAAAGCCCTTGACACCTCACCAAAGAATACATACAGATGGCAAATAAGCAGATGAAAAGATGCCCTACATCATATGTCCTCAGGGCAATGCAAATTAAAACAGTAAGTTATCACTACACACCTATTAGAATGGCCAAAATCCAGAACGCTCACACCACCAAATGCTGGCAAGGATGTGTAGTAATAAGAACTGTCCTTCATTGCTGTGGGAATGCAAAATGGTTCAGACACTTTGGAAGAAAGTTTAGTGGTTTCTTATAAAACTAAACGTACTCTTACTATAATATCCTTTAATTGTGCTCCTTGCTATTTACTAACTGAGCTGAAAAATATGTCCACACAAAAACCTGCACACGAATGTTTATAGTAGCTTTATTCATAATTGCCAAAACATGGAAGGAACCAAGATGTCCTTTAGGAGGTAAATGGGTTAATAAACTGTGGTGCATCCAGATCATGGAATATTATTTAGCACTAAAAAAGAAATGAGCTATCAAGTGAAAGAAGCCAATCTAAAAAGGCTAAATACCGTATGATTCCAATTATATGACATTCTGGAAAGGGCAACACTATGGAGACAGTAAAAAGATCAGTGGTTGCCAATGGGATTGGGGGAAGGAGGTGTGAACAGACAGAACACAGAGAATTTTTAGGGCAGTGAAACTATTCTGTATAATACCATAATGATGGATACATATCGTTATACATTTGTCAAAACCCATATAATGTATAACACCAAGAGTGAACTCTAAGGTAAACTATGAACTTTGGGCGATAATGATTTGTCAGTGTAGGTTCATCAAGTACAACAAATGTACCATTCTTGTGCAGATGTTGATAGTGGGGGAGGCTATGCATTTGTGGGACAGGGGTTATATGGGAACTCTGCTTTCTGCTCAATATTGCTGTGAACATAAAACTGCTTTAAAAATAATAAAGCCTATTTAAATGGAAAAAACATATGTTCTACATGGAAAAGTCAATGGGCTATGTTAACAATTTCCAGTAGAGTCATGTGTCACTTAATGACAGGGATACATTCTGAGAAATGGGTCGTTAGGCAATTTTGTCGTTTTGCGAACACCATAGAGCGTACTTACACAAACCTAGATGGTACAGCCATCTACAGCCTACTACACACCTAGGCTATATGGTACTAATCTTATGGGACCACTGTCTTATATGTGGTTCGTTGTTGACTGAAACATTGTTATGAGGTGCATGACTGTACATAAGCTCTAAATTATAATTTTGATGAAAACTTAAGGAATTTTGTATTTTAAAATATCATATTAAAAAAATGAATTTTTCAGAAAAATGCAATGAGGTGTTACAGATATGGCTAAGATATTTATTAAATTATATGAATAACTAACAAGAGTAATTATTTTGCTTATTGTTTATAATGTTCATAAAAGCTGTATCAAGCTTTTAAAAATTATCTAAAAACATTTACAGTATTGGATAATTATTTTTGTTTTAGAAATAATTTTTTAGTGAAAAGTTTTTTCTTAATTTTAAAAACCCCAACAATACAATAAATTCAACTTGTTATTCAATAATAAAAGTTTTTAAATGTTAAATCACTATATTGTACACCTGAAACTAATATAAAATTGTATGTCAACCATACTTCAATAAAAAAATAAAAGTTTTTCTTGTCTCTGCTCTGCCAACCAGTGTCATCCTTATCTACGTGTATTTTTTCATAGTCAGTGGATGGTTGCTTGTAGCAACCGTAACTACCTGTTTGCTTGTTCACATTTGGACAGAGAGGCTGAATTCTCATGGCTTTCACCTAAAAGTGGGAAAGAACATTCCCAGAAGCCTCTCGGAAACCTTTATCCATGCTCTTTTTCCAGATATAGATTACATGTGGTGAACCCATCACTGGCAAGGGTGATGGAATTTAAGTCCAACTTGGGGACTTGACCTGAGGCTTTATCTGTGTAGGAGGGAAAGCAGCATTGATACCTAACAGAATTCTTTTAGGGAGAAAATGGTGAATGGATGCTGAGAGGCTATCAACACTATTTACTACACATACTATTTTGCATATATTGCTACCAAATTTTATTCAGCTTATGAAAGCAGAATTTTATTAAATTATCAAGTTATGAATCAAATTCACAAAGTGAATTTTATTAAAAAGATCATGTATTTTCATTCAGCTCAATATTTTTTACTTCCCTGAGACTTCCTCTTTGACCCATGGGTTATTTAGAAGTGTGCTGTGCAATTTACAAGTTTTTGGAGATTTTCCTGTTATGTTATTGATTTCTAGTTTTATTCAGTTATATCACAAAGCCTATTTTATATGGTTTCACTTATTTTAAATATGTTAATCCTGGTCTTATTACCCAAGATATGGTCTGTCTTGGTGACTGTTCCATACAAGCTTGAAAAGAATGTGTATTCTGTATTAGTTGATGGTACTGCTCAGTTCTTCTATATAGTTGTTGCCTTTTTGTCTAGTGGTGGTGTACATTACCAAGAGAGGTGCTGAAGCCCCCAACTGTAACTGAATGTCTTTTTTTTCTTTCAGTTCTGTCAATTCTTGCTCCACGTATTTCGCAGCTCTGTTGTTCAGTGCACATACATATGTTGTGTTTTCTTGTGATCTGACCCTTTTATCATTATGCAATATACCTCTTCATCTCTGGCAATTTCTTTTGTTCTTCAGTCTACTTTGGTCAATATTAACACAGGCACTCCAGCTTTCTCTGGATTAGTGTTTGCAAGGTGTATCTTTTTTCATTCTTTTACCTACCAATACCATTATATTTGAAGTGAATTTCTTATAGACAGCATATGGTTATGTTTTTTATCCATTCTCCCAATCTTTTAATTGGTGTGTTTAGACTATTTACACTTAATATAATTATTAATATGTTAGGATGTAGGTCTGTCATTTTACTGTTTTGTTTTTTACGTTTCCCTTATCTGTCTTCAAGTGGGTTATTTGAACATTCTTTAGTATTCCATTTGATTTATCTGCATTTTTGAGCGTATCTCTTTGTATAATACTTTCAGTGGTTACTCTAGGGATTGCAATATACATACGCAGTTTATCACATTAGTATCAACATTGACCTCTTCAAGAATGTAGATATTTAACCATTTAAGTCCTTTTATCCTCCTCATGATACAGTTGTCTTAAATATTACTTCTACATACAGTGAGAACCACATCAATTTTTGCTTTTAACTTTTAAATGACAAATTTAAGTAGATGCTATACTTGTCTTCCATAATAACAAGCTCAGTGTGTACACACCTACTCATTTACTCAACATCCAATCATCCGTTAACTTCAGACACGAATCACTTTCCCATACACTACGCATCCCATACATGCATCCACCTGTGGTCCTTGAAATTTATCTGATACTTGTTTCTATTATATTTGGGAGTCTGACCAAAAGCCTGATATGCCTCTAAGCCCATTCTCTGAGATCTACATTCCTTTCCCTTTGAACTCATTCATGTTGTTTTGTAAGTATTTACATTTATTTCACGAAGTAGTTTTCCCAACTGGACCATAAGCTTCTTGGCAATGGGTTGCTATTCATTTTGTATATTCCTCTAGGATCTATTGTGGTGTTCTAGCACCTGAGCGATAGATAATTCTACAAATTCACTGCCCTCTCCATGTCTACTGACTAAAAAAGCAATTCAGCTATCTGTGCACCCACTAGATCATGCATCGAGTTTCCCACAAAACTTCCTATTCATACATCTAGCATGAGCACCCAAAACATCTGCCCATAAAGAACTTGTGAACCTGAGTTGTTCCACAAGAGCAAAAATTTTGAGGTTAAAACTCTTTAAACAGTTTGCCCTAAAAAAACTCACTATAACATCCTTAGAAACCACTTTGTCCCAAATATGTGGCCATATAACTGTCAGGTATCCTTTCATAATTCCTTTGTGTATCTATCTCATCACTCACACACACATACCCTTTCACACAGCTAATACACTATACTCAATTACCCCATTTTTTTTATTATTTTATTTTTTGTGAGGAAGATAAGCCCTGAGTTAACATCTGTTGCAAATCCTCCTCTTTTCGCTGAGGAAGATTGGCCCTGGGCTAACATCTGCGCCCATCTTCCTTTACTTTATATGCGACACCGCCACAGCACGGCTTGACAAGCGGTGCATCGGTCTGCACCTGGGATCCAAACCCGCAAACCCTGGGCTGCTGAAGCAGAGAGCATGAACTTAACCGCTACGCCACTGGGCTGGCCCCTCAATTACCCCATTTTAGAACAGAAATAACTTATTTCTATGAATATAAGATTTTATTAATAGTCCCTAAGTATTTAGTAATCAAAGTTTTCTCCAAATCAGGAAAAAAATCCAAAGTAATTAACAAATATATACATGTATAATTTAAAAAAAACTCTTCCTGCAATTTAGTTTTTAGCTTTGAACTTTTCAGTGATGGAAGCAGTGAAGGACTCAATGCCAAAGTTCATTCTCATGAGGCTTTTTCAGGTCAATTAACTTAGTTTCTTGCAAATATAAATCAAGCTTGCTCCAATTCCACAAGGACTCCACCACAGTCTTTAGGATGGAGAAAAATCACTGGTTTTCCATGTGCTCCTATTTTGGCCTCTTCACTTAGACTACGGATCTTCTTTTCTTTCAAATCCATCACAGCTGCATTTATATCATCCACCTTGAGAAAAGGAAATAAATAAGAACACATTTGAGATCACAAAAATACCAAATTAAAGTATCTTAAGACTTAGAAGAAACTTTGCAAGCTCATGTGATCTATCTTCTTTGTCTTCAGGCAGAACTATTCTTTTTTGTGTGTTTTTTTTTTTCTGGTAGGAAGATTGGCCCTGAGCTAACATCCATTGCCAATCTTCCTCTTTTTTTTCGCTTGAGGAAGATTGGTCCTGAGCTAACATCTATGCCAATCTTCCTCTACTTTATAGGTGGGTGACTGCCACAGCATGGCTTGATGAGTGGTGTAGGTCCACACTCGGGATCTGAACCTGCGAACCGGGCTGCCAAAGTGGAGCATGCTGAACTTAACCACTATGCCACTAGGCTGGCCCCAGAACTATTCTTAAAGTATCATAAAAATAAGCTTAATACTTCCAGAGAAGGAAAAGAACTTGCTAAATTCTCCTAGGTGAGCAACCACAATGCTTAAGAATTTTCACCATTCATCAATAAACATTTCTCCTTATAACGTAAGTAATGTATGCCACACTTTATAATATTTTCTTCTAGCACTACTATTCGTGATACTGCACAAACTGCTTTTTCCTAAGAGCCTTGGGTGCCTCATCTATAATAGGGAGATGAGACCTGTCATATAAACAGGCAAGAGATTAAAATAATAGATAAGAAGCTCTTGGCACAGTTTATAGTAGGTACTCAACAAATATGAGCGCTTCCCTGATTCCCAAACCTGCCAACTGCCAAACTACTTGGTTATTTCTTTTGAGATTAAAAGTTCATATACATGAAAATCACTGTTAAACTGTCACCAAAATGTTTTTCTCCATTCTAAAAAATCCAAACATTTATAATTTTGCAACTCTCTTCTAAATCATTTCTTTCTTCATATTTATTGGCAATCTAGGAGAGGAGAAAATATGTCTCTATATACTTGATGGAAAAATGATTCTCCTCTATCTTGGAAAGTCATCCTCGTAGACTGGGAACCAAGTAAATGGATAGAAAGGTATAACATGAATCCTTACATCCCTAGGAAGACATAAATCACCCTTCAGTTTAATGATCTAATAGCATTCTAAACATAAAAAAAAGCACAGAGAATAACACCCATGTACCCAACACATAGATTTAACAAATGTTCACATTTATACAATCTTATTTTCAAAGAGCCGAGGATTATATACTGGTCAAACAACTGATGAAGATACTAAACGTTACTATAAATAAACTATGATTTCTTCAACGTGTACATTCCTGATGATGCTTCTTATTAATCCTGATAGCTATATCATGCCCAGACTAAGACCATGGTCATTTCACACTAAATAGCTGGTCTATTCTCATCTTTTTCAGAACAATAGGATTCCTCCTGACAGCTTAGCTTTTTGTATCTGGATATAATGAATTTCATTCTATTGAATTTGACCTTTTTTTCCATTTTCCCAAAGTTACTCTAAATTCAGTCTTTCCATTTAAAAATAATTTAAGAATTATACAGTACATGAAAATTTAAACATACAGAAACAACTAAGTACCCCTTGACTACCACTAATATTACTTCCCTCTCCAGAAGTAACTACTGTCCTCAGTTTGACATATGTTCTTCCACATCTTAAAATAAATTTATAATCATTACATAAGTGTAGTAGTAAAGAATTTGGCTTTGTCTAAAGAGAGGCCTGGCCTTGACTTCTGGGAGATAATTCACATAACCTGACAGAAGTGTCTTTTGCTCTTGACTTCTGGGAGATAACCTATGTAACCTGATAGGAGTGTCTTTGTTTAGGGCAGAAGCTGACCAAACTGGATCTTAAAGTACAGCTGGCCTTATCCAAGTCTTAGGGTAGGGGATGGCCACGCCAGAAACCATGTAATGTAAGGTAGGAGCTATGGGTCACATGGTATCAGTAGATCTGGAGACTGAGTTCAACCATGTGGGCTATCGATCAATCAATCATGCCTAAGTAATAAAGCCCTAATAAAAACTCAACAGTAAAGTTTGTGTGAGCTTTGCTGGTTGGCAATACTTGATGTGTATTGTCACACATCAATGCCAGAATGGTAATGTGCCTTGAGGAAAAGGGGAACTGTGTTTAGAACCCTCCTAGACTCTGCCCTATGTCTTTCTTCCTTTGGCTGATTTTGATCTGTATCCTTTTCCTGTAATAAACTGTAACCATGAGTACAACAGCTTTCAGTGAGTTATTCAGCGAGCATTTCTGGAGGGTTACCAAGCATGAGGGTGGTTCTGGAAACCCCCTAAATTTGCAGATGCTATCAGAAGTGAGGGTGGTTTTCTAGAGGACTGTGTGTCCTCTAAACTTGATAGTTGGCTCTAAACTTTGCAGTTTGACGACTATGTATGTAAATTAAAGTTCTGTATTATTTGTATCTGCTTTTTTTACTTAATATATATCAGCAATTTTTCCATGTCAGTACATATAGGTCAACAACTTTTTAATTACTACATAGTGTTCTAAATAACCACTTTATAGAAATACAAAAGGTAACCTAATCATGCCCCTACTAACAAACATTTAGGTTATAAAAAGGGAAATCTGGACTCTCCTCAGTGGTCACATGCTAAATTGGCCTCCCTGGTGTTGCCAATTGAACAAAAGAGAGCTTGGTGACTGAGTTCATGGACAAGATTCCACTGACATTTGAGGGCATATGCACATGGCAAGGACTGGTGTAAACAGATAAAAAAATACTAAAGCAAAATTAAAAGATATGGAGGACAAGTTGAGATACTCTGACAAAACTTAGCTAAAGAAAAAGAGACAAAAATAGAGTGACAGTGGCAATATTTGAAGAGTTAAACTGATAATTTTCCATAATTGAAGACAGACATGAGTCCTCAAATTAAAAATACACTTGACTCACCAAGAAAAAAAGAGAGAAGGCACAAATAAGTAAAATCAGAAATGAAAGAGGAGTGGTTACAACAGACACCTCAGAAATACAAAAGATTATAAGAGAATACTATGAAAAACTATATGCCAACCAATTCGACAATCTGGAAGAAATGGATAAATTC